TTCCAACTACCAGTGATTCTTCTTTGTTTCCAACTTTTGCATTCCAATCACCAGTGATAATCAACACATCTTGATTGCATGTTTGGTCAATTTCAAACTGCAGAAGCTGGTAAAAATCTTCTGTTTCCTCATCTTTGGCTTTGGTGGTTGGTGCATAAATATAAATAATAGTAGTAGTAACTGGTCTTCCTTGTAGGCATATGGGTATTATCCTATCACTGGCATCGTTGTGCTTCACGCTAGATCATGAAACGTTCTTTGTGACAATGAATATGATGCCATTCCTCTTCAAATTTGGCATTCCTGGCATAGTAGATCATAGGGTTGTCTGATTCAAAATGGTCAAAACCAGTCCATTTTAGCTAACTAATGCCTAGGATATCGATCTTTATGCATTCCATTTCATTTTTGACAACTTTCAATTTTCCTAGATTCATACTTGGTACATTCCATGTCCCAATTATTAATGGATGTTTGTAGATATTTCTTCTCATTTTGAGTCATGCCACATCAGCAAATGGAGGTCCCAAAAATATTACTCAATCCACATCATTAATTAAGGTCGGCTGTACTCTGAGGAGGCAGCTATTCCCCAGTGGTATTTTGAGTGCCTTCGGACCTGAGGGGATCATCCTCCAGCACTTTATAGGACAGTGTTTCAGGACTATTCATAAATTTTTCCAATAATATATGAGACGATGTTTAACTGCTGTTCATAAGGTTTCGCTGGCCAATTCTTTGAGAAGTGGATGGCCCCTTCCTTCTTCCGAGTCTGTCTCAGTCTGGAAGCTCCGCTGAAACCTGTCCATCGTGAGTGACATTTGCTGGTATTTGAAATACTGGTGGATAACCTCCAGACTCACAGCAACAAGCAGGCCACCACAGCACAACAAACTGACAGACAAGTGGGGGGAAGGACCTGGTAGCAGGGTCCATATCTTACAGAGCTTTGAATGTTACACATTGAATAAACCATCTGTTGGTTGAATTCACTTACTTAAAATCAATATGATTAAAATGGGCTAGTATTTTCAGAAAGACCAGAATATTTCCAGTTTGTGTTCATATTTATTTCTTTAACCATTCCAGAAGTTTTCTTTTATCCAGTCTTTGTTTATGAAATTTATCCCGCACTACCTTTTCAGAGGAGCTCTGCTGGCATAGTACCTAAGGCACTTAACTGCTAACCAGAAGGCTGGCAGTGCAAACCCACCGACCACTCCTCAGAAGAAAGGTTGGGCAATCTACTTCCGTAGCAATACTGCCTCGGAAACCCAAGGAGGGGTCGCTATGAGTCGGATCCGACTTGATGGCAGTGAGTTTGGGTTTTTTTTGGTACCTTTTCCCTAATACATTTACTATCCCTAAAAGACATGTTAATATACAGTCTGATTTTGCACAGAAATAGTATTGTGCTTTATTCTGTGAACATGTTATTGTTGTTGTTATGTCCCATCAAGTCGGATCCAACTCATAGCGACCCTCTTGGGTTTCCGAGGCGGTATCACTATGGAAGTAGATTGCCCAACCTTCCTTCTGAGGAGTGGCTGGTGGGTTTGAACTGCCAGCCTTTTGGTTAGCAGTCAAGTGCCTTAGGCCCTACACTACCAGGGCTTTTCTGTGAACATATAGATATTTAATAATGTTTTTTAAGATAATGAAAACAAAACATAAAGTGTAATAACAGCAAAGAATATCAGTGCTCCAGCTCATTTTTTCTCTTGCAGGGTGAAGCAGCTAACTGATGAGGAAGAGTGCTGTATCTGTATGGATGGTCGAGCCGACCTCATCCTGCCTTGTGCTCACAGCTTTTGTCAGAAGTGCATTGATAAATGGTGAGTTATCCACTGACTTTCTGGGCCAGGCAAAGGTCATATGGAATAGTGTCCTGGAGGATTTTATTTTAAGAATCAATAAAGAAATGCATAAACTCAATCAATAAAGGTTCATGCATAAATTCGTTTAGTTTATTGCAGGGTAGTCATGGCAAGGCACACAACAAGTAAGACCTCAAGACATTCATTTAACATTGGAGAATCAGAAGTAAAGATTACAATGTCAGTTTCAATGTTAGAGTCCAACTCTTTAGACTTCAGGCTTTTACCTCTACTGAGTGATCTCTGGGAGGAGACTTGACCACCCCTCAAACTTAGAGGAGGTCCCCCATAGCTAAGTTCCAAGGTCATTTGTGGCGAGCACTGTCTCAGCAGGCTTCTCAGTCTTCAGAGAAGAGTCAGTTGCTTCTATCTTCTTCCCAGAGTAAGCACAAATCCATGGGTTTATATACCCTGTGTGCTGTCATGTTTAACTATAATTGGTATGTTTTATTGCCAGTTAAAGAATTGTGTGACATATTTATGTTTTGTTGTTTTATATTTTATTGCCAATTAGGGAATTTTATGACATATTTATATTCTTGTTTACTACATGTTTCAAGGCCAAATTAAAAACTGAAAATTATGGGAATTGTTCAGTGACATTTATGTTTTGTTAATTTATAAAAATATGATTGTTACATTCCATTATCATTGAGGATATGCTTGAACAATTTCTCTTAGGAAGATCAGCACAAGGTTGGTCCCCATGAAGCGGAGGTTAAAGATGTCCCAAATATCCAAACTACTATGCCACTCCATCATTTCAAACATTAACTCCTTCTTCTCCTCTCAGTAATCTCCCCAGTCTTAGCGTTCTATATTTTGCTGTAACACCTCACAGAACTCACAGACACCCAAGGGATTATCTTACATAGTGGTAGTGGAGGCTGACAGGCTGGCAAGTCTCAGGTCTGTAAGTAGGTCTGGAGGATCCTCCAATTCTCAGGGTTTGACGAACCTCAGTTAGAAGATCACATGACAGCTGCTGTCCCAAATCCAGGGGTGAGATGACGATGAGCCAAAATGCAGAACCAGAGCAAGAGGAGGGCAAACCTTCCCAGAGGATTCATAGGTATTTCCTCAAGGAAGCTAAGGGTGGTGATTTGAGTTGTACCCTCCAGCAAGGCGGGACTCAAGATAGATCCCACCTGTGTTGCTCCAGCAGAAATAACTGAAGTGGATGGCTTTAACAATCAGCAGCTACTCAGTTGCTCATGGTAAATCCCACCACAGAACCGATTGCCAGTCATTGTAGGAAATAGTTACTACCAGCTGCCCAGCCAAGTTGACGCCCAACCTTAACTACCACACCACCCCAAACAGGCATGGATAATGGGATTTACGAAACACCACAGAATGGAGGACAATGGCTAGAAGGGCCACATCAAGCAGTTCACTTCAGTGTAGGTGTACAGCCCAATTTTCAGAAAGTTATTTATGACCTACTTCACATACTTCTTCTGTTATCTATTTTCAAGGTTAGAATAAATTTCTAGTAATTTGTGGTTAGTGGTTAAAGAGTCTTAAGTTCAGAAATTCTCGTATTTCTAACTTTACATTATAATTGACTTCTATGTAGGTGTTTAAAAGCATAAAAACAACAGTATAAAAAGCATTATGAAAGTATGCATAATAGTGACTTACACATATATGTTTTTTAAGAACGTTACAGAATCAAATGGGATTTGAGAGTCTACACAAAGTATGCATAATGGATAGTGTATGTGAATACACTTTGAAAAGCACAAAAATACTGTATTATAAAGTATGAGAGGTTTTGTTATTTACTACTTTAAATTTACTGCTTTCTGGTTAAAAATATTTTTATTTTTATACCCTAAAGTTTATAAAATGTGGGATGTATCATTGTTTTGACATTTTGCTTTAAGGAGATTTGTGGCTGACTTGAGTCTTGAATCAAATATTTCCCTTTTCTTCCTTTTTTCTCCTTATGTCTACATTTATCCTCTACATAAGTTTACGAGTAATATGAATCCTTAAATATTGGACCTGGAGGGAACTTTAAACATCAGCTTGTCGAGCTCATTATTTAGAAAATAAGAACCAAGCATTTAGGACAATTTGTAATTGAAATGCAGCAAACAACACATATTTAAAGTGTACCATTTGTTAGGTTTTGACACATTCATATACCCATAAAAACCATCACCACATTCAGGATATTTGTGGTAGTTAAGGTTAAGTGTCAACTTGCCTGGGCCTGGTTTTTAGTGTCTGGGCAGTTGGATGTAGTTCTTCCCCATGGTGAGATTGGTAATCAGTTCTATGGTGGAATCCACTGAAGCTGTCTTAGAGATGTGGTCTTCTTCCAGTATATAAGAAGTGTTGAGAAGCAGATAGATGGGTGGACAGGCTGAACTATTAGGTATGTCTATGCAGCAGGGAGTGTACCCAAGACCATGTATAGGTTGGCAGACAGTGGTTCTACAAGTGTATTTGTATGTTCTGTAAGAACTCCAAGGGGTATACTAGAGCTGACAAGGGACAAGATTGTAGTCACTTCTTGGTCACAGCCAGCTACACAGAGGGACCAAGTAGTTGAACCTATGGACTCAGGACCATAATCACAGGGGACATCATGCTCAATTGGCATAATATACTACACAAAACATTGTTCCACCTCCTACTTCGACAAGTAGCAACTGGGATCTTAAAAGCAGCCATCTAGATGCAACGATGGGTCTCTCCTCATCCAGAGCAAAGAAGAATGAAGAAAACCAAAGATTCATGGAAACAATTAGTCCTTGTGACTGGTACACCATGTGATCCTCAGCCTATAAGACTGTGAGACCAGAAGAACTAGATGGTGCCTGGCTACCACAGTCAACCACTCAGAGGG